GATCTGGTTCAGAAGACAATATATCCTTCAAAATAATTTGCTTTGACTCAGAAACTAACAGGAAACTAATCAAGGAGAGAAGCAACTTAGACCTAAGGAGAAATTTTCTGACAGTTAGAACAATTAATCAGTGGAACAGCTTGCCTCCAGAAGTTGTGAATGCCCCAACACTGGAAGTCTTTAAGAAGATGTTGGATAGCCATTTGTCTGAAACAGTATAGGGTTTCATGCCTAGGCAGGGGGTTGGACTAGAAGACCTCCAAGGTCCCCTCCAACTTTGCTATTGTATTGTATTGTATAAGATGTTTTATAGATGGCATTTTCCGCTTCATTCTCCAAAACACCTGAAGATTGACAGAGACATTTAAAGATAAATCAGCTAAATGTTGGAAATGCCACCAGGCACCTAGGTTGTATTATCATATGTGGTGGACATGTGTAGAAGCCAAAAAAATATTGGACAGAAATACATACGTGGTTGGAGAAGATGATACAACAACATATTGATTTGAAACCCAAAATATTTTTGCTGGGGATTTTACCAGAAACTTATAGTAAAGGAAATGTAGATCTGATTATCCCTGTAATAACAGCAACTAGGATTGTATTTGCACAACACTGGAAAAGTGAAGAGATTCCTATGGATGAGAATGCGATTAGGAAAATATTAGAATGTGCAGAAATGAATAGGTTAACACTTGCAATTAAAGAGAAGGAACAAACTGAATATTATTTCATATGGGAACTAACGGAAGGACAACTGGTCCAATCAGAAGCATGCATGCCTTCCTTGTCTCTATACAGGTAGTCCTCGACTTATAACCAATTGTTTAATGACCATTCAAAGTTACAACGGTTCTGGCCAGTTCTCAATTTATGACCCAACAGTCATAATCCCAACAGTCACATGATCAAACTTCAGGTGCCTAACAACTGGCATGTATTCACGATGGTTGCAGCATCTCAAGGCCCTGAGATTGTCACCTTCAACCTTCCTAGGGAGCTTCTGACAAGCAACGTCAACCTGGAAAGCCAGGTTCACTTTAAAAACCATGGTGGAAAGGTCATAAAGCAGAGCATGATGACTCACTTAACAATTGTCTGGCTTAGCAATGGAAATGTTGGGGTCAGTTGTGGTCGTATGTCAAGGACTACTTGTAGGAGGATGCTTGTAGGATCTTTTCGTAACTCAGTGGTCTAGTTTTATCTCCTTCCTGTTTGCTATAGCTATAGAGTGGGCTGATTCTGTTGTGAATATGAGGGATATTCCCTTCCCTAAAACTCTCTTTTTATGACATTATAATCCATTAATGGGGATTCAGTGGCTAAGACGCTGAGCTTGTCGACCAGAAAGGTCAGCAGTTTGGTGGTTCGAATCCCTAGTGTAACTGAGTGAGCTCCCGTTACTTGTCTCAGCTTCTGCCAACCTAGAAGTTCGAAAGCACATTAAAAAATGCAAGTAGAAAAATTGGAACCACCTTTGGTGGGAAGGTAACTAGCATTCCGTGTGCCTTTGGCGTTTAGTCATGCCAGCCACATGACCACGGAGAGGTCTTCAGACAGCGCTGGCGCTTTGGTTTGAAACCAAGATGAGCGCCGCCCCCTGGAGTCGGGAACGACTAGCACATATGTATGAGGGGAACCTTTACCTTTTAATCCCTTAGTTCGGGGTAGAGTCTGGGCAACTGCATGGAGCTGAGCATTTACTGGCCAGATGCTCTTCCTGGCGCCTGTGAGGCGGATATATTTGCGCCCTGGGAGAGAGAAGCATTTTCTACCTAGGAATTCTCAACCTTCCAAGTGGGAGGTGAGCATCTTAATCACTCGACCACCACACCACTCAGATATTCCTTCCCCATTCATAGAAATACGAACACAATTGAGCCCAACATTTCTGTTCTTGAGTGAAACATTTCTTAAGCGAGTTTTTGCACCATTGTACGACTTTTCTTGCCACGTTTGCTAAGTCACTGAAATTATTAAATTAGTAACGCCGTTGTTAAGTGGCTTCCCCATTGACTTTGCTTGTCCGAAAGACATAGAAGGGGACCATGGGCAGCCAGGATGCTGCAACGGTCGTAAATATGAACCAGTTGCCAAGGTGTCTGAATTTTGATCACATGACCGCAGGGATGCTGCAATGGTCATAAGTGGGGGCGAAATGGTCATTTTTTTCAATCCTGTTCTAACTTCAAACGGTCATTAAATAAACTTTTGTAAGTTGAGGACTACCTCTAATTTCGAACGAGCCAGATTTTCTGTTCATGACTTAGGTCTCTTGCTTGTAGGCAGGAAGTCTCAAATTCCGTTTCCTCCACTGAGAAGATTCCCACTTTATGCGTAGATCTCTGCTTTCTTTTGAGTTGCGCGTGGTGGGATTGGATGATTACAAGAAAGACCTCCCCCCCACTCCCCCACTTTTTTTGTTTCCCAGGCCTCCCCGACTTCATTGAAAGGGGCAGCTGGGACGTCCGCCCAGGTGAACGCTTCGACCGCCACCAGCGTTGCTTCCATCGTCAACTCGAACGACTCTCCTGCCAGTCGGCAAGCAGCTGCTAAGTTGGCCTTGCGGAAACAGCTGGAGAAAACCCTGCTGGAAATTCCTCCACCCAAACCTCCGGCTCCTGAAATGAACTTCCTGCCCAGTGCAGCTAATAATGAGTTCATCTACCTGGTTGGGTTGGAGGAAGTGGTGCAGAACCTACTAGAAGCTCAAGGTGAGGAGGAGGAGGAGGAGGAGTTAAGGGGCCAAACTTTGAAGCCTTCAAACTTAGAACTCTGGGAACTGTAGTCTTTGCCCCATTGGAGGCCGCCTGGAGCAGCGATGGCGAACCTTTTTGTTGTTGGGTGGCAAAAATGCGAGGATGCGTGCGGGATAGCACATGTGCTCACCGGCACCCATAATGCAAAGCGCGCCTGCATATGTGCGCACATACGCGCCTCCCCATGCTTGCCTCCAAGCTGAGGTTGGTATTTCCTCCAGAGTGGTGGTTTTTCACACTCCCCAGTCTCCGGAGGCTTTCCTGAAGCCTGGGGAGGGTGAAAATAGCCTACCCTGACCCCTCCTGGAAGGCCGAAAATCAGCTGGCTGGCACACGCATGCGTGCTGGAGCGGACGGTTCGCGGGCCTGCAGATATGGCTCCCGTGGCATGCGTGCCATAGATTCGCCATCACGGGCCTAGAGAGAAACAAAGCTGAGATTTATGTTGCTTAGAGTTGTCAGTTGTTGCTGGACTTCAGTTCCCACCATGCTTGATGTTTAGTCATGTTGAGTAGAAGTTGATAGAACTTTAGACCAACAGCGTCTCTGGGGGACTCTAGGATGGGAAAAGCTATTTTAAGAGTACCTTAACTGTCTGCTCTCAATAAAGCTGAGATTTTCACCTCCATTGCTTAATGTAAACTGGGGGGATATACAGTAGTGGCCAAAATTGTGGAAACCCTTTGGGAAAAGTATATTTTCTAAAACTAGCTAATAACACCACATTTTTTGAAGTAGTACCATAAAATTATATATCAATGGAAAGATAATTTAATCAAGAATGTAATGCAATAACGTTTGTGAAGGATTTGCTATTAGAATAACAGTTATAAAAGAAGAAAATTGAAATAAGATATAGAAAAAATTGTCACCTTAGAAGAAACGAGATATACAAAAATTATCACCATGACAGTTAATACTTAGTTGGGTAACCTTTAGTATGAATTATGGCCTTACAGCGTCTTCCCATGAAGTGAACCAAGTCTTTTAGTTCTGCAGCTGTTATAATATGAAACCAACATTGAATGATTGCTTCTATTAACTGGGTTTTATTGCGGAGTCGCTTCTAACTAACAAGTTTCTTTAGTCAGTTCCATAGATTTTCAATTGGGTTAAGGTCTAGGCTATTCCCAGGCCATTCCAGCAGTGGAATATGATTATCTTGAAACTCCAAAAAAAAAAGTGGTGTTACTAGCCATCAAACCTCAAAAATACACTTTTCCCAAAAGGTTTCCACAATTTTGACCACTACTGTACATATGTAACAGAGAGAAGATGGGTTGGCATTGTTTTATTATTGGCTGTTTGTTTATTCAACAGATTTTTATCTGGCCTTTATTACTTTATAAATAACCCAAGGTGGTGAACATACCTAATACTCTTCCTCTCCTATTCTCCCCACAACAATTCTTGTGAAGTGGGTTGGGCTGAGAGAGAAACCTGCTGGGCTTCTTGCCAAGGGGACTAGAACTCACAGTCTCCTGGTTTCTAGGTCAGCACCTTAACCACTACACCAAACTGGCTCTCATGTTGTACGTTGGCTTTATGTCCCACCTGTCCTATGAAAGGTTTAGGGCAATATACATAATAGAAACTTTTCAAATGGCATCCCCATAACAACCCTGTGAAGTAGGTTGGGCTGACAGATAATAGCCAACTCAAAGTCACTCTCTTTGAGTGAACCATGCTGACAATGGGCTTGAATCTAGATCAGTGTTTTTCAACCACTGTGCCGCGGCANAGGACCAGTGGTGTGTTTCAAAACATTTTGGAACCTCTTCAGTAGATGTGGCCTGCTTTCCGGGTCCACTGGTGGAACCTCTTCTAACCGGTTCGGTAGATTTGACGAACCGGTTCTACCGAATAGGTGCAAACTGGTAGGAACCCACCTCTGGCGTAAACTTTAAAATTGTATATTTTGGTTTCTCTTTATATGGTCTCTTACCACAAATTATCTCAGTGTTTGCTTTATTGCACTTCTAAAAAAAAATTTGCCTCTTCAAAACCATGGTGCGTCTTATACTCTGGTGCGTCTTAATCCTCCTAAAAATACGGTAGGTTGTGCTGAGAGAGAAAGAGAGACAGAGTGGTTTCCCTTGGCTCAGATTGCATAAACCTGGATTTCCCCAGTGCAAATTCCAAACCTTAACAATGATAAATGATTGCTCTTAATTTATATGTTTAATGTTCTCCTTACCTCCCAACAAAAATTACTTATTGGTAGCATTTTTGGAGGTCCACAAAATCTGAAGTATCAAGATTTGCCTGTCTGATTGAATACATAAAAAGTTCTAGGGGAATCTTGTGTCTCTGTTGTCATTGACAGATGACTTCTTGATGAGTGAATCCTGATTCCTGGCGAGCATAAACCTGTGCAAGAGAGGAGAAATGTTACATTGCCAGATGTAATTGCTCAATTGCTTGATCCTGGTGATACGCTTGGGCAATTTCTTGCAACTTTTGTTAGTAATATTTCCTGATTTTTCGGACTATTAATAGCATTAATCCTAGGCACCTTTTTGGGAAGGGAGGTCAGGCCCTTTAGTTTATTAAGGAGTTGAACTTGGATGGAGGTGTCAGCGGTAACTAAGTAGAATAGTTTTTTGAGACTGTTAATTGCGAACGGGATAATGAAAACCCAGATGAATTCCTTGCCAATCAAAAAGACTTAGAGATTTTCCTCTGTTGCATCCATACACAATAGGGCAGCATTGAGTTTCTCTGATGTGCGTCAACTTTGGCCTTCTGCACTGTGCAACATTTTCCCCAGCAGATTGTTGAAGGAGAGAGAACTGGACTAGCTTGGAGCAAACTCTGAAAAAAAAATGTGTCTTTTTTTAATGGTGCAGTTCTATCTAAATTTGGTCTTCGGAGTTGATGCACGCCATAAGGATCTAACTTTGGTAGTTTCTCATTTCGGTATAATGGATTATTTTGGGGAT